CTTTGGACATCTTCAACGTTCTTCGGCTTTGAAACAGAGATGAGCACTGCCCCCTAGAGTCAGGATCGACTAGCACAGATGTGCAAGGGGAACCTTTACCTTTACCTTTAGGTTAGAACAACTACAGCTTAGAAAGGGTGATAGAAATAAACGCATTGCGTATTTCCTTCCAACCTGCTCTCATCCACAATTTATATTAATGACCTGAATGAAGTTTCGATTTGCATAAAGTCTTCGGTACACCAAGATCTGAGCTTCAGAGGAATATCAATGTGGGATTTTACAAACACTTTCTGTTCACAAGTACCTCCGAGCTCTCTCAGGTACCGACCCAGCTCCTGCAGAGGGATTTTGCTGGTCGCCACGCACCCCACTGCTTTCCACATACCCATATTTAACGCTGTCATATAGGTTCGATTTTCTGTCTAAATTGTTTCCCAGCTGCCTGGTGCTACTGCGACCCGTTTAGTGTATATATATATATATTGCCTTGGGACGCAAGTTGCATCCCTCGACATCATCAAACGGCCAACACTATACCAACATTGGATGAAACGATGCTGCCTCTTTCAGAGCTTAAGTGGGGGAATCATTTTTATATGCAAGCATGAATATTAACTCTACAAGGGCCAAACAGAACAGAGTAAATATATATATATATATATATATATGTATCAGTGCTAGTCCTGAGTGCAAAGCATTTAGAAAAGCAGAGTAACGGAATAACAGGCTTGGAAGGGCCCTTGGAGGTCTTCTAGTCCAACCCCCTGCTTAGGCAGGAAACCCTACACCACTTCAGACAAATGGTTATCCAACATCATCTTCTTAAAAACTTCCAGTGTTGGAGCATTTACAACTTCTGGAGTCGGGTTGTTCCACTGATTAATTGTTCTAACTGCCAGGAAATTCCTCCTTAGTTCTAAGTTGCTTCTCTCCTTGATTAGTTTCCACCCATTGCTTCTTGTCCTGCCTTCAGGTGCTTTGGAGAATAGCTTGACTCCCTCTTCTTTGGGGCAGCCCCTGAGATATTGGAAGACTGCTATCATGTCTCCCCTAGTCCTTCTTTTCAATAGAATAGAATAGAATAGAATAGAATAGAATAGAATAGAATAGAATAGAATAGAATAGAATAGAATAGAATAGAATAGAATAGAATAGAATAGGAGTTGGAAGGGACCTTAGAGGTCTTCTAGTCCAACCCCCTGCTTAGGCAGGAAACCTACACCACTTCAGACAAATGGTTATCCAACATCTTCTTAAAAACTTCCAATTGTTGGAGCATTTACAACTTCTGGAGTCAGGTTGTTCCACTGGTTAATTGTCCTCACTGTCAGGAAATTTCTCCTTAGTTCTAGGTTGCTTCTCTCCTTGATTGATTTCCATCCATTGCTTCTTCTCCTGCCTTCAAGGGCTTTGGAGAGTAAGTTGACCTCTTCTCTTCTCTGTGGCAGCCCAGCATCTTCACAACTTTTGAGCTTACGGTGCCCTTGCGTTTTGCACACAGTGTCCGTTTTAATGAGGGATGTTTGGCTTAGTCCAGATTGTCAGCTGTTCGGTGTCTTCGATCCCTACGGGAACTGCAAGACGATCAAGCGAGGAGCAATTCCCAAGAAAACATTAAATGGAGTGGGCAGCTGAAGGCACTTTCCAAAATGTACTAGGCCAATTATAGTATCCTTTTTGCTGCCTTCAAGACACTTGAGTGGGGATAATCAGCCTCCATTCAACACGGCACACCTGCAGGGGGAAAAAAAATTCTAAAGAAGCAATCCTGAATTTAACTCCTGTGCCGCGAAGTTGCTTTCCTATTGTCCATACTTTAAACTGACGTCAAGGTGGAAATTTGGCTGTCCGTGATGATTGGGGCCTTTTTAAATGTGCTATTATTTGTGGTAGTTTAGAACAATGGCTGTAGGATATAGGGTGTATATGTTCCAGCATAACTCTGGAACGCCTTGAGCAATTTCAGGAACGCCGGGTTATCAGCTAGTTGAATATACCACCAGATTCTGATAATTCCTGCTGCATTCACAAGTCAATCAAAGACATCACTTGATAAAGCTTCAGTTTCCAACTCCTAAACCTGCATGGTTTTACATATAAAGTATAGAATATAGAATAACAGAGTTGGAAGGGACCTTGGAGGTCTTCTAGTCCAACCCCTTGTTCAAGCAGGAGACCCTATACCAGTGATGGCGAACCTTTTTGCCAGTGCGTGCCAAAAGCTGGGGGAGCGTGGGAGGTCGTGTGCCCACACCCATAATTCGATGCACCCCACCCCCCTGCGCAAACCCTGTTTTTAGCACGCGATCATATGGTGGGCCCTGTTGTGACTCCGACCCCCAAGGCTGACTTATCGGAGGGAGAAGGCTTCAAACATGAAGGAGAGGAGTTGGCCAGGCCTCCCTCTCCAGGACCCTCCTCTCTGGCAATGCCTCAGGTGTCTCCCGAAGGAGAAGAGATTGGCCAGGAGCCAGGTATCTCCTCGCAGTCGGACAGTGATGGAGATAAGTCTTGGCTGGATCCACACCAGCGTCGGAGAGACAAGCGCACGCAGCAGAAAAGGAGGCGTGCCAGAGAATAAGCTGAGTCACTGGACCACACCCCACAGGGGATAAAAGGGGGTGAGGTGGCCATTCAGACTCTGTGACGGACAAAACTAACTACTAGCGAGTCACATTGTATCTTTGAAACAACGTTATCTGCCTTGGATTTAATACGGACTGGACTTGACAATTCTTGAACTGTGTGTGTCTTGTTTGGGTTTATCTGACGGAGGAACAACCCCTCCCTCTATGAGTAAAGTTCTTGGCAAGCAGCTACTGGGTTGCTGCCAATCCTCTTATCGAAAGAATTTGTTGTCTGCCAGTTTTATTTAACCCCTGGCTATCTGTTTGTGTGCGTGTGTGAGACGGGGACAGAACAGGCCCCGTAGGCCCATTTTTCGCCGTCCCCAGGCTCCAGATGCTTTCTAGGAGCCTGGGGAGGGCAAAAACAGCCTTCCCCACCCTCTTGGAGGCCAGGAATGGCCCGTTTGCCAACTTCCAGTGGGACCTAGAAAGGCTCTGGAGCCTGGGGAGAGTGAAAAACGGGCCTTTCCCACCTTCTCCAGAGGCCCTCCGGAGGCCGGAAACAGCCTGTTTCCCAACTTCCGGTGGGCCCGGAAGGCCCGAAAATCAGCTGGCCAGCACACGCATACGCATTGGAACTGAACTAGGGCAATGCTCACATGCCCACCAATATAGCTCCGCGTGCCATAGGTTCGCCATCACTACGCTATACCATTTCAGATAAGCGGCTGTCCAGTCTCTTCTTAAAAAACTCAAGTGATGGAGCAGCCACAACTTCTGGAGGCAAATTGTTTTCGCTGATTAATTGTTCTAATTAAGAATTAATTTCTCCTTAGTTCTAGGTTGCTTCTCTGCTTGATTAGTTTCCATCCGATGGTTTTTCTCCTGCCTTGTGAGGCTTTGGAGAATAGGTTGAACACCCCCTCCCATTCTGTGGCAGCCCCTTAGATATTGGAAGAGTTACAATCCCAAATTGTAGATCCCAAAAGAATTGCATGTGTCTTAAAGGTAAATGTAAAGGTTCCCCTCGCACCTATGTGCTAGTTGTTCCTGACTCTAGGGGGCGGTGCTCATCTCCGTTTCAAAGCCGAAGAGCCAGCGCTGTCCAAAGACGTCTCCGTGGTCATGTGGCTGGCATGACTCAACGCCAAAGGCGCACGGAACGCTGTTCCCTTCCCACCAAAGGTGGTTCCTATTTTTCTACTTGCATTTTTTACGTGCTTTCGAACTGCTAGGTTGGCAGAAGCTGGGACAAGTCACGGGAGCTCACCCCATTACGCGGCACTGGGGATTTGAACCGCTGAACTGCCGACCTTTCGATCGACAAGCTCAGCATCTTAGCCCCTGCGCCACCGCGTCCCTGACATTTGCCTTAAGGTTCTTCAATTTAAATAGGTTGCAGAATTCAGTGATATCTCCCTATCGATTGAGAAAGGAAATAAGCATCATTTTAAAAACAACATAATTGCATTGGGAATTATGTAGTGGGAATATGATTTTTAACCTCCGAGTCATTTCACAATAAAGTATATTTCTGATATTGTTCCAGAGATTTTACACTGAACATGCCCAGTGATCCATTATCTACTTTTAAGCAGAAGCCACTCAATTTATTTCAGGACAAGAGTGGGGCTTAATAATCATGAGTTACGTCTGTTCTAATTTTGTGTTGGTGCAAATAAGCATTGCATTTATCTTCAAATATTTATTTTTTCTTTCTTTCCTTCCTCCCACCGTCCCTCCCTTTCTTTCTCTCTCTCACTTTCTTTTTCATTTCTCTCTCCCTCCCCCTTCCTTCCTTTCTTTCCTTTCTCTTTTCTTTCTTCCTTCCTCTTTCTTTTTCCTTCCTTCCTTCCTTCCTCCCTTTCTCTCTTTCTCTCTTTCTTTTTTCTCTCTTCCTCCCCCTTCCTTCGTTCCTTCCTTTCCTTTCCTTTCTCTTTTCTTTCTTCCTTCCTCTTTTTTCCTTCCTTCCTTCCTTCCTCCCTCCCTCCCTTTTTTTCTCTCTCTCTTTCTTTTTCTTTTCGTTCTTCCTTCCTCTTTCTTTTTCCTTCCTTCCTCCCTCCCTTTCTCTCTCTCTCTCTCTCTCTTTTTCTTTTCTCTCTTCCTCCCCTTCCTTCCTTCCTTCCTTTCCTTTCCTTTCTCTTTTCTTTCTTCCTTCCTCTTTTTTTCCTTCCTCCCTCCCTCCCTCCCTCCCTTTCTTTCTCTCTCTCTTTCTTTTTCTTTTTGTTCTTCCTTCCTCTTTCTTTTTCCTTCCTCCCTCCCTCCCTTTCTCTCTCTCTTTCTCTTTCTTTCTTTTCTTTCTTCCTTCCTCTTTCTTTTTCCTTCCTTCCTCTTTCTTTTTCCTTCCTTCCTCCCTCCCTTTTTCTCTCTCTCTCTCTTTCTCTTTTTCTTTTCTCTCTTCCCCTTCCTTCCTTCCTTCCTTCCTTCCAGATGCTCCAATGAAACCAAACTCAAAACCGAAGATCTCTTTTGGGCTTATAACTTCTGTCCAACGCCCTATTCATGGACCGCGCTGCTGGGACTCATATTGTACCTGGTTTTCTTCGCACCAGGTAAGCCCAAGTGACGAACTTAACTTTCCTTGACCAAAAGAAATTGGCTGTTATCAGCTGGGAAAACTCAGTAACCCTGGTCAAAAATCTTAGATGTCTGAATTTTTTATTTTTCTGTGTAAAATAAAATTGAAAGCACTGGTTGCCCTGTTTGAATATCTCATCTAAATATCCCATCATAAAAGGAAGGTTCTACATTTAGGCAAGAAAACCAAAATGCACAGGTACAGTATATGTGGTACCTCGCTCAATAGTAGTAACTGTGAGAAGGGATCTTGGAGTCCTAGTGGACAATCGCTTAAATACGAGCCAGCCGTGTGCAGCAGCTGCCAAAAAAGCCAACACAGTTCTAGGCTGCATCAACAGAGGGATAGAATCAAGATCATGTGAAGTGTTAATACCACTTTACAATGCCTTGGTAAGGCCACACTTGGAACACTGCATCCAGTTTTGGTCACCATGGTGTAAAAAAGATGTGGAGACTCTAGAAAGAGTGCAGAGAAAAGCAACAAAAATGATTAGGGGACTGGAGGCTAAAATATACGAAGAACTGTTTCTGGAACTGGGTATGTCTAGTTTGATGAAAAGGAGGACTAGGGGAGACATGATAGCAGTCTTCCGATATCTCAGGAGCTGCCCCAAAGAAGAGGGCGTCAAGCTATTCTCCAAAGCACCTGAGGGTAGGACAAGAAGCAATGGGTGGAAACTAATCAAGGAGAGAAGCAACTTAGAACTAAGGAGAAATTTCCTGACAGTTAGAACAATTAATCAGTGGAACAACAGAAGTTGTGAATGCTCCAACACTGGAAGTTTTTAAGAAGAGGTTGGACAACCATTTGTCTGAAGTGGTGTAGGGTTTCCTGCCTAAGCAGGGGGTTGGACTAGAAGACCTCCAAGGTCCCTTCCAACTCTGTTATTCTATGTTTTCTATTACTATATCTCCTTGAACCATCTAGCCTTGTAATTTTATAGGGTAGGGAAGCAGATTCTGCTTTCACCTGGGTAAAATCAATTCCAGTGAATTGAACGATGAAAAAAACCATGTACACTTTCCTCTAGACGGCGAATCTTACTTTGAACTGAACAGTACACATAACGGCAATGGGGGGGGAGGACTGGATTCACTTAACGACCGCATGATTCGCTTAACAACTGTATTTGGGTTCAACTACGATTGCAAGTCGAGAACAAGCGATATTAGGGTGAACATTCTTAACATCGTGCATTTATATTGAAGGCAAATATTATTCAGGACATCTTCCACCCATGTTAATCATTTCTTAAGGGGGAGGAGCTGACGTTGCGACGGGATGGTCAGAGGATTCCTGGGCTCCAGGATCGTTGCCGAAAACCCCACCGCTGGATGGTCCTTTTTGGACCTCACAGTCTCGTTTTGACTGTGATAGTGGAGGGCACATCCTGACAATCCCAGGGACACCGCAAAGTCCCTGGTTCACCCATGTTAATCATTTCTTAACTTTCCATCTTGATAGATCATTTAAGAATACTGAAGTTAAAAACTTTAATCGGTTATTTTTCAATTACTTGTCAAAAGGAATGGGGCCAATGCCGTGGACCATCAATTCTGAAATTTATCCCCTTTGGGCGAGAAGTACAGGAAATGCGTGTTCCTCTGGCGTCAACTGGATTTTCAACGTTCTGGTATCACTTACTTTCCTGCACACAGCTGAATATCTGACTTATTATGGTAAGAATTTATTTTTTTTTATTTTTCCTCTTAAAACAAGACCCAGAACAATTTAATTTCGGATACATTGGGGTTTTCGTTTTTCAATTTTCAATTATTTGCCTTGGCATCCTAAATTGCTTTATTGTTTCGAAATGTTTTTAACACGTTTTAAAACGTTCTTAATATTTTTTTTTAACTGTCATATACGGTAGTCCTCGAATTACAGTCGTTCATTGAGGGGCCCTTTGACATGACAACGCCAGTGAAAAGAGTGACATGACCCTTTTTTCACACTTAACGACCGTTGCGATATCCCCGTGGTCATGTGATCAAAACTCAGATGCTTGTTTCACATTTATGACGATTTGCAGTGTCCCAGGGTGATCCCTTTTTGCGACCTTCTGACAAGCAAAGTCAATGAGGAAGCTGGATTCACTTAAGAATGGTGTTACTATCTTAACAACTGGAGTGATTCACTTAACAAATGTGGCAAGAAAAGTCGTAAAATGGGACAAAACCCACTTAATGTTTGTCTCACGTAGCAGCTGAAATTTTGCATTCAGTTGTGGCCATAAACCAAGGACTACATATATATAGGAACGCGGTGGCTGAGTGGCTAAGACACTGAGCTTGTCGATCGAAAAGTCGGCAGTTCAGCGGTTCGAATCCCGAGTGCCCACGTAATGGGGTGAGCTCCCGTGACTTGTCCCAGCTTCTGCCAGCCTAGCAGTTCGAAAGCAAGTAAAAAATGCAATTAGAAAAATAAGGACCACCTTTGGTGGGAAGGGAACAGCGTTCCGTGCGCCTTCGGTGTTGAGTCATGCCGGCCACATGACCACGGAGACATCTTTGGACAGCAAGGCTCTTTGGTTTAGAAACGGAGATGAGCACTGCCCCCTAGAGACAGAAACGACTAGCAAGCATGTGTAGGGGAACCTTTACCTTTACCTTACCATTCATTCATTCATTCATTCATTCAATTTCTACACCCAGTCAATGATTCTGGGAGGGAGGGAGGGAGAAAAGAAGGAAGGAAGGAAGGAAGGAAGGAAGGACTGAGATGGGTGAGTGTAGAAAGTGAATGAATTAATGAATGAATATTAGGTTTGTACGGGTGTCCTTGACTTTATATATAATGCTTTGAACGAAACCACCTGTGTAATATTTTTGAAATATGGATCTTAAGAGAAGTCTTAGAACAGTGTTTCTCAACCTTTTCTTCACCATGGACTCCCTTTAAATACCTTTTGTGGCCATGGACCCCCAAGACTTAACGCAAGATTTAAATCATAACATCTTTTTCCAAACCTTCGCGGACTCCCTGTGATGACACTGTGCCCTCCCCCCCTTCCAGGGATCCACGGACCACAGGTTGAGACCCACAGCCTTAGAAACTTCCTTTTAAAAAAAAAAAAATTCCCAACCTATATATTAACTCTAAATGGGGTGACGTGTTTCTTTGTTTCTTTGGTTTTTTTAAAACTCCAGGAGCATTCTTCCTTTATGCCGGATTTGCGTTCGTGGGACTCCTTTTTCTGTACGGCTGCCTTCCAGAGACCAAAGGCAAAAAACTGGAGGAAATTGAATGCTTGTTTGAGACTTCGCTATGTACATGTGGCATTCCCGAATCGGAGGACGGGAGGTATATCGAGTACATCCGGGTGAAGGGAAGTAATTACCATCTCTCCGACAACGACGCCTCTGACGTGGAATAAATCTCAGCCGCCGATCGGTTAGATCTTTCGAAAGCCTTGGTTGAGGGATGCTGAAGGAGCTGCGCTGAATGACCTCACTGGCCTGTTTCTGGTCTGCTTCCTACTGCCTCTGTGGAAACGGTTCCCTATTTTTAAACCATGCCCTTCGGGGGAGGGGGGGAAATAGAAATAAAAATCCCACATCCTCTTACCCGCTAGCCAAGAGGCGATCGCCGAGAAGAATTGGCAAGAAGGAAAGAGCTTGCAGAGTGGAAGTGACTCTCTTGAGGTCTTTAAGAGTTCCATTCTGGACGCTTGCTGAACTTCAGAATGAGAGTCGAGGGATGAGGTGGCGTCTTAGTTGACCGGCTCGAAAAATTAAAATGCTTAAAAAAGAACAACGAAGTCAGAAACCAGGCGATTCGTAAAAGCAGTTAACCTGGAACCCCGAGACTTGGGAACAAACGTAACCCCGCCTCTTAGGAGTAAAACAGAAGGAAGGAAAGAATCATGTCTATTTGGGGGTGGGGGAATTGTAAACTGATTGTAACGTTAATACTCCACTGATGTTGTGTGCAATGAGAGAAAACAGCTTCTTCTGGTGCTTACTTTCCGTGGATGCGATTATCTTTAGAAATCTTTCTTTCCCACCGACGGTCCTTTGCACAAGGAAAGCTGAGATCTTAGAATTACAACATTTTAAATGATTTGTGGCCTGTGGGCTCTGGGGTTCTACCAGGCCTGTGGAGAAGATTTTGCTTCATTTTGAGGGGGGGCGGGCGGGTGTCTTCCTGGTCTAGGTTGCCAGAAATTCATATTTTTTTTTTATTTTTTTTTTGACCCTGCAAATCTCAAAAAACCAATGTGAGAACCTCATCAGAATGACTTCTAAGCAAACAATTTGGCTTGGAATTAACCGAATTTGATTCGGTTTAGAGTGGAAGCAAAGCGAGGGAACGGTTGAAGGATGAACTGGAATGGGATGGCTTCCATTTTTCTTAAGAAGGAAGGGATTGGCCTCCTTCCGCGGAGATAAATTTTGTCATCAGATTCTTGCAGTTCAACTTTGTCGTCCATGTTGAGTTTTCAGATTTTACTTGCGGTGATTTTTTTTTTTTTTTTTTTGCAGAATGAAAGGCATTTGTTAAGCAGAATACAGAATAACAGAGTTGTAAGGGACCCTGGAGGTCTTCTAGTTCAACCTCCTGCTCAGGTAGGAAAACCGTACACTATTCCTGACAAATGGCTGTCCAGTCGCTTCTTGAAAAGCTCAAGTGATGGAGCATTCCCAACTTCTGGAGGCAACTTGTTCCACTGTCCGTGGAGATTCTGTCTCGGTCACCCGGGTCATGGTTGTCCCAAGAGGCAACTGGACTTTCTGGTTTTTCTTTGAAGACATTTCGCTTCTCATCCAAGAAGCTTCTTCAGCTCTGACTGGACGGTGGAGGATGGAAGTATTTATATTCCTTGGAGACAGCTGGTCGTTTGCATCCTTTTAGAGAGTCGTTGAGGCTACCTGGAGGTTTATCTGTGTCATTAGGGTCACCTGAGTGGTGCTAAACCTCTAGATCCATGATGGTGAACGTATGGCACGCATGCCACAGGTGGCACACGGAGCCATATCTGCGGGCACGCGAGCCGTTGCCCTAGCTCAGCTCCAGTGCACATGCGCGTGCTGCCGCCCAAGCTGCCTCTCCCCTCCCAGGAGTCTTCACGCAGCCCGTTTTGGATGCCAGGTAAGTACAGGGCTCACACGGAGGCTCTGGGAGGGCGTTTTCAGCCTCCGGAGGGCCTCCGGGAGGATAGGGCCATGGGGGAGGCCGGTTTTGCTCTCCCCAGGCTCCAGGAAAGCTTCTGGAGCCTGGGGAGGGTGAAAAACAGGCCTGCCAGGCCTACCGGAAGTCAGGAAACTGGCTTCCACAGGGGCTGGAGAGCCTCCACGGGGGCTGGAGAAGCCGTTTTCGCCCTCCCCAAGAAAGCCTCTGGAGCCTTGGAAGGGCGAAAAACGGGCCTACTGAAAGTCTGGAAACGGGCCGTTTCTGGCCTCCGGAGGCTTCAGGGAGGCCTGCTAGGCCCAAAACGGGATGTGGGGGGGGGTCGTGCGTGCATGCACGAGGGAGCGCGGGGGGGATGCATGCGCAGGGGACGGGGCACAGAGGGGGCATTGAATTATCGGTGTGGGCACACATGCGCGCAACCCCCCCACACTCCCCCACGCTTTTGGCATGCGATGGCAAAAAGGTTAGCCATCCCTGCTCTAGATTAACCTCCAGGTGGCCTCAACGATTCTATAAAAAGAATGCAAATGACCAGCGGTCTGCAAGGAGTATAAACCCTTCCATTCCCCACTATCCTGTCAGAGCTGAAGAAGCTTCTTGGATGAGAAGCGAAACGTCTTCAAAGGAAAAACCAGTCGCCTCTTGAAAAAGCATCTTTGGGACAAGTTGTCCCACTGATTAATTGAATTAAGTAAACCTGTTGAGGCCTTGTAGTTAAGGGCAGATATTCTTCCAGTATTTAGGGAACCCGGGGCACGAAGGAAGTGAATTTTCAGGGAAGTGATCCGGTTTATCATGGTTTTATGTCAAACCTAGAAAGAAGCTTCCCCAAACGAAAGTAATTCACCACCATTCTTCCTGCTTTAAAAAAAAACAAAAAAACAGATCAGAAGCAATTTAGTTTTGCTTCTGGGCAGGACGTTATTTGACTCTTGTTAGCAAAATTTCTCAAGTTTTGGGGAGCTGCATAAGGTGGGTTAAAGGATACCTGTGGGTCCTTAAGTGTGAAGATTTCATTTCAGGATTTGTGATGAACAGTCTCACACTGGCGTTGTTGTGAGAGAGTCTCTCACAACAACGCCAGTGTTTCCTTAGAGGTGGCAGGGAGCAAAGAGAAGGTGTTTCCATCCATCGTAGACCGAACGAAAAAAATAATTATTATTTTGCTATTTTTTTAAAATAATGTTCCCCTGTGGATTACAGGAAAAGTAAAAAGAAGGTTATAACTATCATATATAACAGTCAATTTTAAACCCTCCCAAACGGGGAAGAAATCCTATAACTTCCTTCACTAAAAGTATTTTTAAAAAGTAATTTTGGGGACGTCAATTAGTAGATGACAAATTCAAGATTAAAATATCGTCTTAATTTTTTCCTTTAATCCGTTTCGTGGATTAAAATTCAGTCCATTAAATCCAAGGATTAATGAAAGATCGTATTCATATAAGATGTAAAGCTTCCCACCGATCCCATCTATTGTACAGTAGTGGCCAAAATTGTGAAAATCTTTTGAGGAAAGTGTATTTTCTAAAACTAGATAATAACACCACTTTTTTGGGGGGAGTAGTACCATAAAATTATATATCAGTGGAAAGATAATTTAATCAATGTAATGCAATAACTTTTAGGAAGGCAGTTACAGTATATTAGAATAGCAGTTACAGTATAAATACACCATCTCGGAACTGCAGAAGCAAAACCAGCTCTGATTTTCCCCGCGCAAATGGTCCAATTATAAAGCTTCCTTTTGTTATGGGAACAGTCCGTGTCACCGCCTAACACCTGCAGCAGTGACCTTGGCGAGGTTCAGGCTCCCGCAGCCCGTAGATGAAAACTTAGCATTCCATTTCCTCCCCTCCCTCCCTCCCGTTTGGCAAGTTGAGGAGCGATAGAAGCTCAGAAAAAGTGAAGCGATTCAATCTTGACATGGATATGAAGGAGGGCATCCTTACTAGTTCAGATACCCCTACAAATGAGGTAAGATATTTGGGACCATCTGACCCACAAACCGTTCACCTGCTCATGAGGATTAAACTAGAATTCTCTTCAGTTCTGTCCTGCTGCCATATTCCAATGTTGATCTCGGTGAACCTTCAACTTGTAGGATACAGGTAGTCCTTGACTTACAACAATTCATTCAGTGACCTTTCAAAGTTACAACGGCACCAAAAAAAAGTGACTCTAAGATCATTTCCCACACTTAACGACCGTTGCAGCATCCCTAGGGTCACGTGATTTACATTCAGATGAATGCTTGGCAACTGGCATGTACTTATGACAGTTGCGGCATCCCAAGGTCACATGATCACCTTTTGCGCCCTTCTGACAAGCCCAAGTCTACGGGGAAGCCAGATTCACTTAACAACCGTGTGCCTGACTTGGCAATTGAAGCGATATACTTAACAACTGTGGCGTGAAGAGTCGTAAAACGGGGCAAAACTCCCTGAACAAATCTCTCGCTTAGCAACATACATTTTGGGCTCTATTGTAGTTGTAAGTCAAGGACTACCTGTATGAGAAAACGTGGATCTGTATGTAAGTAGCTATAAATTAGCTAAATAGAATCTCTGGGATTAACATGTGGAATAAAGTCATTTATTCTGTCTTCTTACATGAGATTATATTCCTAGGCCTGAGAACAATAAGTAGGGTTAAATATCCTAGGAGAGAAATATAAAATGAGGGAATTGTTATAATAATCAAGTTCTTTGCCAGAAGGAGGTATACAGATGCTTTTAATTTCTCCTATTTGCCTCTTTAAAATGCTATAGGACAGTGATCGTGTGCCAAAAGCTGGGAGAGTGCGAGGAGGTCACCCGCATGACCCATAATTCAATGCGCCCCGCTCACGCCCCTCCCCCCTGCTTTTAGCACGCGATGGCCCGGTGGGCCTAGTAGGCCCATTTTTCACCCTCCCCAAGCTCCAGTGGCTTTCTAGGAGCCTGGGGAGGGCAAAAACGGCCTTCCCCCCCGCCCCCAGAGGCCCTCTGGAGGCCGGAAACAGCCCATTTTCCAACTTCCTGTGGAACCGGAAGGCCCAAAAATCAGCTAGCCGGCACATGCATGTGTGCTGGAGCTGAGGTACGGCAACACTCGCGTGTCCACCGATATGGTTCCATGTGCCACCTGTCGCACTCGCGCCATAGATTCGCCATCACGGTGCTATAGGATCTGGCTTGCCTTCAGAAGTTGTGGGTGCTCCATCACTGGGGGTTTTCAAGAAGAGATTGGAAAAGCCGTTTGTCAGGAATGGTATAGGGGTTCCTCCTTGAGCACCTAGAAGACCTCCAAAGTCCCTTTCAACTCTCTTATTCTGTTTCGACAGCCGGACTATATATTTTTTTAGCCTTCTGGAAGCTCTGGCTGTACCTTATTTTTTTTATTTCGTATTTTCTTTTACTGGACGCAAAACTACGAAAATTGAAAGGGGCACAGACCTACGATTCACGGTTCTCCTTGTGTCAAAGCTAACTTGGATATTTCAGAAAGCGTTTCCGTTCCAGTTCCAATAAATAAAGAGACAAGTGTTGCCTTAAAGTAACCAACCTCCCCATCTTCTGTAATGATCGGCTGCTTCTACGAACGGAAAAGACGAAAGCCCAAGCTCCGCCCCCTTTGGGCTGGAGAAAAGAGGCGGGGCTTGCATCCCGATGCCGCTTAATCCCACTCGCCAATCCGCCTTCCTCCTACCTAAAATGACACCAGGTTTTGCTTTTAGGATGAAACTGGTTTCTGCCTTTGTGCCGGTCGTGTTCTGACTTTTCGCGGCGTCGACACGGAATTTGGAAGCCCGGGGTTACCACTAACTTAAGAAGTCGTTACAAAATGCTGCCCTTATATATATATGCCTTTTACTGGTTTCCCTGCCTAAAGCCTTAAACTGGGTGTGTGTGGGGGGGGAATAGGACATCCAGCACGTGGGAAACAGATCTGTGGAAATCGGCCGCTATGAAAAATTTGAGCGCAAAGCCAAATGGGATAAATTCAG